ATTAGGAAACTATTGAATTGACCTCTTTATTGTCTATTCTCAAGGATGTATCTTTGAGGCCTAATGTTATGGATAAAATATTGTGGACTAGGACTATTCATTGTTTGATGTTACTCTGTTATAAGTTATTATTTGATATGATCATTGACAATCCAAATGTAACCCCTTTTTGTCCCTCAAAAGATGGATTTGGAAGGCAATTGTGCCTCTTAAAGTATTTGCATGAAAACAAAAGATCAAATGAATTTCTAGCTTCCATACATCCTTTAAAACAAGAACCTTTCCCCATTATCCACAAATAAACAAGTAGCTTGAACCATTAACCACATAAGAATCCCAACCATTAGCTTGAACCCCATACTTGCTCTTAATAATAAAGTGCTACAAAGAATCACATTTCAAAGGAAATCTCCCAGAACCATTGCCCATAGTCATTGCCAATCCTACACTCACTCTTCCCAACATAACCCCATCAACCACTACCCTCTGCTCCCAAAAAACAGTAATTGAAAGCCCATGCATACCTAAAGAATAAACCTTAGAATCATTGTGGTTGTCCTAGTCCAAACAAGGAATCAGCCTAAGTCTACAATCATGGAGCTTCGAACACATGGCCCAACCGAGTGATTGGGCTGATCAACCAAACCGGTCATCGAACAACCCGAACCTCCCCACCCAATAATTTCATCCCTTTCTTTGTCATCTCCAATGTTGTGAAAAGCGCGCCTAGGCGCGAGGCGAGGCGCACAGTTTGCGCCTGAACATGTCCCAAGTGAGGCGCTTTGAGGTAGGCGCGAGCCTTAGCTACGACTTGAACCAGGCAAGAGAGGCGCAAGGCGCACGCCTAGGCCCACTTGATTGTTTAACAGCTAGATCTGATCTAACGGCTGCAGGAGTGTGTTCGAATGGCTCTTAACCACAAAGGATTACAACTCATGTACAATATGACCCAAATACGACTCAAATGAAACCTAATCTGTGTCGTCTCTTCCTCTCTCGCCTAGCCTTGGACTTCGACTTCGACTTCGACTGGGCTGCTCGACTTCAACTTCGACTTCGACTTCGCAGGTATGCTTTGACTTCTTCTTCTTCTTCTCTTCTGGTTTGCTTTGTGAAATTTCCCCCCCCCCTCTCTCTCTCTCTCCTTCTTCTTCTTCTTTTGGCTGCTTCAATTGCTCTGTTTTGCCCTTCTTTTCTTTTTTTTTCAATTATGCTTCAGTCTCTGTTAGAAAAAAAAAAATACAAATACAAATACAAAATAAGATTCTGATTAATTAATACAATGTGTTGCTATTGGTCTTTTTTTTTTCCCTTTATAATACAAAATAAGATTCTGATTAATTAATACAAAATAAGATTCTGATTCTGATTAACTAACTAAAAAAAATACACTGAAAAAAATTACAAATAATTAATTAATACAATGTGCTATTGATCCTTTTTTTCCCTTTATCTGTTAGGGAAAAAAAATAGATTCTGATTTTGATTAATTAACTAAAAAAAAACACTGAAAAAAAAATTACAAATAATTAATTAATACAATGTGCTATTGGTTTTTTTTTTCTCTTTATCTGTTAGGGAAAAAAAATAGATTCTAATTCTGATTAATTAACTAAAAAAAATACGTTGAAAAAAAAATTACAAATAATTAATTAATATAATGTGCTATTGGTCTTCTTTTTTTCCTTTATCTGTTAGGGGAAAAAAATTACAAATAATTAATTCATCACACATTACATTACACTGAAATTATTTTTCATTTATTAAATTTGTTTCGTAGAAAATGACATCGGAAAGTAATAGAAAAGATCCGGCGTGGCAATATGCCCATTTGGTAGAGGAGAATAATTTAAACAAGCTCGAGTGTAATTTTTGTGGTAAAGTATCAAATGGAGGTGTTTATCGGGTGCAACAACACCTCACGGGAGGTTATAGGAATGTCACTGCTTGCCCGAAGTGTCCAGCTCATGTAAGAGAAAAGATTAGAGAGTTCATGTCAAAAAAGAAGACACAAAAAGAAGAAATGAACATGTTGTCTGATTTCGATGACATGGACATGGAAGATGAAGATGAAGATGTTGTTGAGATCAATGTCAATCAACACCGTAAGTCGACAAGTAGCAGCCAAGGTTCATCCAAATCCAAATCAAAAATGCCAAAGAGAAAAAGGCCTATGGATGTTTACTTCACACACAAACGTGAATCAGTGGAGAAAAATCGAAGAGACCAAGCAAAAGGGAAGCAAACCAAAATTGATGTAAATGACCCTTACAAAAAAGAAATGAGAGCTCGGGCAGTGCAAAGATTTGCAAGATAGATGTATGATGCTGGTATCCCTTTGAATGCAGTAAATTATGAGAGTTTTGGACCAATGATTGAAGCCATTGGGCAATATGGTCCTGGTATGAAGCCACCAACTTACCATGAAGTGCGGGTTACCCAACTCAAAAAAGAAGTGAAACATACTGAAGATTTGATGAAGAATCATAAAGAGGATTGTGCAAAATACGGGTGTTCCATAATGGCTGATGGCTAGACTGATAAGAGAGGAAGGACATTGATTAACTTTTTAGTTAATTGTCCAAGAAGAACCATGATTGTTGAGTCGGTTGATGCTTCTAACTATTCAAAGGATGGGCAAAAGCTATTCGAATTACTAGACAAGTTTGTGGAGAAAGTTGGAAAAGAGAATGCGGTGCAAGTTATCACTGATAGTGCTGCAGCTAATGTGTTGGCGTAAGAATATTTTCTCATTCCTTACATCAAAATTGTTTACTCATAGTTTGTTTTGTATTTAAAATTTAAAAACCTGAAAATAATAATTCTTCGTTATTGTTACATTATAGGGAGGTTTTTGGAAGCCAAGTATGAACACTTGTATTGGACACCATGTGTTGCTCATTGCTTGGACTTGATGT